CAGAGGGGAGGGGAGCCGGGTGTCCAAGGGGAGTTGGAGGGAGAAAGTAGTGCCAAAATAACCAGTGCTGCAAAACTGATGCAGCGGTGACCAAGAAACCAATGCTGATGTACTCAACATCAAGGGACAAATGTGGAGGCACCCCATACTGACAAAATGAACATAACAGACAGCCTGCAGCTGTGAGATCTAATGCACAGGTCTCGGAGCTAAATTAAACTGATACATCAAAACACCAAATACACCTAAAGCTGGGAGAGAGCTCAAGGCATCAAAGCTTACACATCATCATGTCTGTCAAAGTGGTGAGATGAGTCACGAGACTCATGGGTCCACTTCTTCTCTCTCACCTGAAAGGAAGAAATACAATCCTTCAAAAAGATCCCTATGCAAGCCAATGCTTTTGACATCAAAGCAGTTAACTGAACTAATGGTGGCGAAAAGAACTAATTTGAGGGAATGCAATCAGGACGTTGAAAAACCTTCTGGAAGATAACTTAATTCAACTTCAATATCAGTACCAACAGATGAGATGACAAAGTCAAGTTCCACGTACTCAAGTTCCTGGAAATCCTTTGCTTGTTAATTTCGGTTTCAACAAATCAGGACAGTTACAGACACAGAGTTCTCTAGAAGATCAATACTGGGTTCAGGTGCCTTCATAGCCATCTCCAATCAGTGGAAATGAATGGTGAAATCAGTAAGTCCTTTATGCTGCCAGGAAAAGCCAAGTACAGGCAGTCCTCGGACTTGCAACACAACTGGTTCCTCAAAACTGCATCTTAAGTCGAAACGTTGCAACTCGGAACAGATTTTCCCATAGGAAACATGTTATAAATGGGGGATTGGTTCCTGAACCAAGGCCCCATACCCTATTTTCACCAAAAATAACCCAGAATTTTGTCCTCAATCAATTATAGATTAGTAGTATAGCTACACTAATGTATTTCTATTATAAATAGCAATCATATTGATTTGGAAGGACTTCTTTGAGGTGACTTTGCTGGACTTTTTGAGGGGCTCTAGGTTGGACTTTTTGAAGGGCTCTTGGCTGGAGTCTTCTCAGTAGTCTTGGCTGCAGGTTTTTCTGGAGACCTGCCTTCTTTCTTAAAGAAAGTGTCCAAGGAAGTTTGGACAGATATTCTCCAGGGAGATGGGCAACGTAGCGAACTTGTTCACTGGTGAGACATCAGGTCAGATCAAACATTGTAAAGTCGAAACTGACGTCAGAAAGTTGAAACGGTGTCAATTTACAAGCGCTGTAAGTGTGAAGCATTGTAACTTTAAACGTTCTAAGTGGAGGACTGCCTGTACATGGATTATAATTTGGAATGCGACACATTTCTCATCTCTTACAGAAGAGATGTCACAAAGAGCTGGCCCTGAGGGCTGGGTGAAGGACACAGGGCCAGGTCTGCAGGTCAGATAGAGCCATCATGCAGGGCCAGTCCAATGCAGATGCTGCATGCAGCATGTGCCCTGAACTGGCCATGTGTGCTGTTTGCAGTGTGTGATGGCCCTAACCCCACAAAATATATGCAGGCCAATCCAGGGCGCACACTACATGCAGTACATAGGACTGGTCTGAGGCTGCATGTCGCATCCTTATGAGCCCTGCTCTCCTTATGGGCCCAGCCCTGTGCACTGGATCCAGCATGCACCACTAGTCTATGGGCTCGATCCAGACTGGCCCCAGATCCAGGCATGGGTACTGCATATAAAATATGTCCCACATGCTGTGTCCAGTGTGCTAGCTCCAGCTTGGTGCAGCACATGGGCCAGTCCAGGGCACACACTGAATGCAGTGTTTAAGCCAGACAGTCATGGAGTCCGTGGGCCTGATTCACTATCTGCAGGCCACACCAGATGGACCAGGGCCGCTGCATGTTACAAGCAGCAGGCAGCGCTGCAGGCCAGAAGATATAGCTCTGTGGGCTGCAACTTTGACAACCCTGTTTTATGGAAAGAGTCAAATCACAGGACTCTAGAACCTGATAAAGCTGGTCTCGAGCATAAGTGAAGAAAACAGCAGCAAAATGGGGAAGGATCAAGGAAGCCTTGAGGTCTAGACATTGGCAAAAGCCTAATAATAAAAAATATTCATTTGGCCTCAGTGAAAAAATAAGTCTCCTCTTATACCTCTTTGGATGAGTGCATAAAGACCTAGGTAGAATACATACAGCCTTACATACTAGCCTAGGATACATACAGCCTGGGGTTTGAGCTAATGGGTCAAGGGCATATGACATCAACTACAGGGAAGATCCATGCAGACCATATTAGACAAAATGGAATTCTTCTATATGCATCAATTAAAAGGTATTAATAGGTTTTGATAGTGTATTGAATGCAAGGAATTCACAAATAATTTTTCAGGCAATAGTTTTTGTGGCACTAAAATCATGCATTTTGAAGGAGAATCAAGAATTGTTTGGCTGAGAAACCAAAAGCTGCTGCATATTTGGCAGTGGCAATAAAAGGATTTTGTGTGAACTTGCTGAGAGTGAGCAAGCTGCTCTATGCTGTCAACTTTTAGCTGTGACTCCAAAAAAATGTCTCTCTCTCCATTCTGCCTTCCCAAAACAAGGTGCATCTTATTTAGGGGCACATGACATGTGAGAAAATACTGTAACATAAAATGTTTGACAACTGTTGATCCTTCTAGATCATGATGTATGCACAAAAGGTCACCTAGATCTTCAATGCATATGCCTAGGCAGGAGTGGGGGGGTTTTTGTTTGTTTGTTTTTTTAAGGAATGGAGGCTGCCCAGACCTTCAACATAAAATGTAACTAAGAAAAAAAGCATGTAGTTTGTTAGCAATAATTCAAAGGGAAGCAGTAGTAGTTAAAAACTGCGATCCACTGACAAGAATTCTACAATGTATAATATTAAGTTAATGCATTAAATGTATCAATGTATTAAATTGAGAAGTTGAAAAAAAATTGTGAAACAGGTACACACCACACCATTATCACCAACCAGGCAATCACAGTGCAGCTGATTTTTGATTGCTGACATACAGACAGACTCCCTACTTTCAAAGTACTGGATAAAATAGGTCCTCAGAAAGTCACTGTACAATATATATTTTTAATCGTTCTCTTTTCTATAAACTATCACTGAAAGAATCCATGCAATCCATCAAGACAGATCTGAATCTTTTCTGGAAGCAACCCTTAATGATTTCTTTTTTGACTGAATTTCTTTAAAACCATTTTTAAAATTATCACTGTTGAGGTAATGAAGACTTATAGGAAAAATTATATCTACAGTTTTGAGTTATAAAACAATGGAATCAATGATGGTTTAATTGAATAAGAGTTTCTTCAATTCCATGCCAAAATCATCCTTTAATACATCAGATATATATAGGGATCCATTTTTGAAACAGCACAAAAGGATTTAGCCATACACTTACCGAACTGAATAATACTCATATGTTTTAGTATGACCTAACAAACTTTTTTTTTCCAAAAAAAATAAACTCCAAGACAAAAAGGTTTAAAATGAAAACAAAGTTCACACCAAAGTACAGAATTATGTTGCAATGTAAACACTTGAAATAATTTATTTTACCTGATTTGTTCTTTTTGTCAGAATTATCATCCAAAGCTGATAAAGCAGTGGAGATGCTTTTCTGAAGATCATGGTTACCTCCTACAGAATCATCTTCATCAGAAGAAAATGTAGGCAATGTTTCCAAATTTTTCTTAAGTTCTTCATCAGCTTTTTTGGTTGGACTTTCACTGCCAACCTCAACAGACACAGGAGCTGCTGCTGGTTGTGGTTTTGAAGGTGGGTGGGGACAATGGGCACGGACTATCTGGGTAACTGGTCGTCTAGTCCTGTTAGGCATTCGTACAGCAGGAGCAGAAAACTGCTGCCTAGGTCCAGATTTCAGAAAGTCTAAAAAAGATGCAATGAATCCAGTTTTGACTTCTGGTTGTTTTTCTTCCACTTCTTTGATTTTTTGCCTCATTTTTTCTTGATGTTGGTAAGTGTCATAACAACATTCAGAAATAGGAGAAGAATATGTTAGGCATATATCAGTTCCTCTTGAATTCTGACGTTTACACTGCCCACTTTTTTTCAGTTGTTTCTGGTTTACACTGTCATCTTCTATAGCATTTTTAATTTGGCCTTTTCCTTTATTTTTCTTCTTCTGCAAGCTATCTTGAGTTAAATCGTGGTTCTCCTCTTCAGTTTTATTAACAATTCCGTCCCCTTGATGTGGTACAGGTATTGACTGCAATGGTCCTTTAGCCTGGTTACCTGCTACACTGCCATCATGACCACCCATATTAAAATCATTATCTGATGCTGCACTCTCTTCACTTAGACTCCTACCACTTGAAACAAATTCTGGGTCTCTAGTGGTCAGTGCACCTTCAACCGGGATATCATTATCTTCCTCAGATTCATGATTAATGCTAGACTGTTTCTTAACTGTGCTAGAACTTTGCTCTTGCTCTTGCTGACTAGGTCCAAGGGTGGGGGAGGTCATTCTACTTGGTACATTTTGATCAGAAGTCTCAATATGCTGTTGATCAAGGTTCACATTTTTTGGCTGTATTGCAGACATAGCTGTAAGATTTAGAGTTATTTGGCCTCCATTTAGGGAAATGTTATGTAGGCTCTGTGGTTTCCCAACTACAGTGGGTGAGGAACTGAACCCAGCAGACACATGTCTTACATCTATTGACTGGAACTGAGATTTGGAATTTTCACCATTTTCAACAGATTGTATTTCTTCTTCATTAGATGTTGATTTAGCAAATTCAGATGGTGTGACCCCACAAGCTGCTGCTGTTGCTGCCAAGATATCATCTACGTTGGACAATATATTCCTCTCATCAGTGAGAAGCATGGACTCTGGGAAACATATTGAACCCAGAGAAACAAACTGATTCTTTGAATCATGTTGATTTGGTTGAGTAAAATGGTCTTTTGTTGTCAAATGCTGCTGCAGGGGTTTTGAGGACTCAGAGATGTCCATTTTCATAACTTCTGAATTTTGAGGATGAAGCTGTTGCTGAGAATGACCCCCATTACTTTGAATTATATGACCATCTATTTGAAGGAATGGATGTGCTACCTGCTGAGGACTCTGTATTCGTTGCACTTGTGGAGATGCCTTTGCTTGTCCTAAACCTGACTGCAGTATTGACTGCTGAAGAATTTGTAAGTCACAGGCAGAGTCCAGAAGTACCTGTGCACTGGGCAAACACAACTGATTGCTGTGCCTCAAAGCATGAGCCTGAATGTGTTGTGATGTGCTAACAACTTGACCCTGCTGCTCTTGGGTCTTATTTTCATGTACCTTATGCAACAGAGCATGTTGCTGGTTTAGTTCTTTAGCACTTGCATTTACTTGTGCTGCTTGCATTAAATCAGCTGCCTTTTTAATGTCATGGCTTACTACGTTAGTGATATGGCCAATCTGTTGAGAAAGCTGTGCAACAGAATTAATCATTCTTTCATCTTTTTTTGACCCTTGTAAAGTAAGTCCAACAACTTGATCTTCAAGACGAGAATTACTTCTGATTACACTTTGGGAATATCTGTCATCTGCCTTTGAGACCCTGTAGGCTGTATCCTGAGCACTGATTTCATCATCAGTCAGCCGTTGAGTAGAAGATTCAAGAGAAGCTTGCTGTTGCAATGCCTGTAAATCTTGCATTGACAATTCATCATCATCTTTTGATGAAGCATACAAGTTAGAGTCAGATTTCCTTTTAACATACGATTTTGTATCCGAGGAAGATCTACTGTTCTGCAACGTCTGCGAATGAGCTGGGGAGGCAAAAGGAGGGGACTGAACAGCTGGTAAAAACTTTTGAGATTGCGGAGAAGATGATTCTTGTGGCTGAGAATTCTGAGAAGTCTGTAACGAAATATAGTTCTGGCTTGGACTTGAGACTGACAGATTTTGAATACGAGGAGAGGAAGAAAATGGAAGAGATGGTGATGTTAATGTTAAGGGTTGCCCTGAAGTATAGCTTTCTGAAGGACTAACAGCTGACAAAACTTGTGATTGAGATGAATAGTTAACCTGTGATTGGCTAACAGGAGATAAACCCTGAGAATGACTAGAAGAATAACTCTGAGACTGGCTAACTGAAGAAAGATCCCTCGTTCGCCCAGAATAGTTCTCATTTGGAACTGAAGTTAATACCTGTTGTTCTGAAGAGTAACTTAGTGTCTGACTATCAGAAGTTATAGCTTGTGATTGCGCAGAAAAAGTCAAAGTTTTATATATTGAAGGCAGCTTCTCAACCTTGCTAGATGAGAAATCCTGTGAAAGACTGACTGATGGCACATTCTGTGATGACGTTGAAACATAATTTTGGGATTGGCTAACTGACAAAAGAGTTGGTAGCTGTGCTGTGGAATATATTTGTGCTTGGCCTGTTATCACAGAACTCTGGTTTTGTGCAGTTTTGAAATAGCTTTGGGTCTGCACAGGTGGTGCTACATTTTGAGGTTTAGGGGTCTTGGTTGACCTTGGTGGCTGCTTCGTAGAACAGTTCTTTGCTTTTGCTGTGGAAGCCGGTGGGAAACCAGGTGAAGGAATTGCAGATGTATAAGACTGAGCAAGTTCCACTGAAACTTGAGAATGAGAAGTCTTCTGTTGCGGTCCTCCATTGCTCACCTGAGTAGCATCTCCAACTGGACTGCAGGACAATGCTGATTGCCTGGATGTATCCTGAAAATTAACTCCACTTGTATTTGATAAATAACTATGTAAGGAATGCTGTGAACTAGTCAGTTGTGCCTGCACAGGCTGGGTATTTGAAGGCCTCTGATGGTGTTTAATAACACTACATTCTCGCTGAAATGCTCTATCAATGGAGGCAGTGGAACCAGTAAAGACAGTTGTACTATATGCCTGAGAGACCTGTTGAGCCCCTCCCAGTGTTGAAGGCAACAAAGTAAACTGAGGTTGCAAGAGATGAGGTGCAGATTCTTGAGCAGAACGATAGGTTGATGACTGAGGTGGAACACTAGTACTTAAAACAGAGCTGCCTAGGCGCTCAAATGTCAAAGCAGTTGGAACTGTGCCTTGTGACGTCTTGATTTGTAATAATGGGTCATGAGCAGTTAAAAGACCATTCGATGTTGCACTGAAAGTTGCATCTTGAAGTGTAAGAGATGGAGTAGTAACAAAGCTTCTACTGCTGAAGGAGTTTGGATGCTGATAAGCTGATAGAGCAGATGTTGGTGGAAATGTTCCAGAGGCTGGCAATGCTCCAGTAACAAATAGTTCTGTGGGTGTTGAGGAATGCATGCCTGAAAAGAGAGAGAGAAGGGGAACACAAAAAAGAAAGTATGAAGTAATATTTTATACTTTTTACATACTTAAAACAAAATGACCTATAAACCCTTTCAAACATACCATCAGATTCAAAATTCCTACACGGAATAAATAGAATATCATCACTATATTTATGCACAGATGCATTATACAACATTTGTCCCAACATACAAATGAAAATACAGAAACATGGGCATTTACGGTCTAATTTTTCCAAGATGGAGTTCAATTTTTTCAAGTCTCAACTCTACTGAACTCCTTCAGTGAGCTGCCAACAAAAGGCAAAACCTGACATTGCAAATTGTGGGCGCAAAAATTCTCAAAAAGAGAAACTAGGTTAGAAATCCCACACTTTTGGATATTTTTTTTTTTTTTACTTATTTAAAAGAATATCTTCCCCAGATAGCACTAATCCAAAACTCTGGGCACCTTGGATCTGCATTAGAAAAACAAACCAAAGAAACCACACACATAACACCATAGGGAATATTACAAAACAGAAATCAAAGCCTGATCATTTCTCTTACCTATCTACCACCCCCTAACTAATCAAACAGCAGAACAAAAGTACTGAAAAACCCCTATGTTACATGTTGTGCTAAGCAAGTACAGACTTTAAGTTGAGGTGACTACCGTTCACAAATTGCTGGGTCATGGAGTGTAAAATGTTTTGCTCTAGTAAATAAAATTTACACTGCACTCTTAAGAGATGAGATTTTATATATTTATATCAAAATATTCCTTGTGGCAGCTTTTAAAATTTATGAACACTTATGTCCTTTGTTGAATGTGTTTTTTTAAAAAAGGGGATTTTTACATCAAGTTATGGAAAAGATACGCACACTTAGATGCCACCTGTATGTTATAACATGGTATAAAATTCTATGGCATCCACAAGATAATGACTATCAGAACAAAAGTCTTGGCATTACCTACTTGCAGACTTGTATTTCATCACCTGTTCTTAACTGATATAAGGATTTTTGTTAATAAACCAAAAATTCCATATTATTGTAATTATAATTATGCAAATTTACTCACTTAACTCAAGTCTAGCTATAAAATTATTTGCCTTACTCTTCATTTATACTTCTCATATAGCATCTTCCACTAAAGAAACTCAAAGATTTATGAACAATTGATGAGACTTCCTAACTTCCCTAGGAGTTAGAACAGGTGCGGGCAATTATTTTGGGCAGAGGGCCACTTACTGAGTTTTGGCAAGCCATCAAGGGTCACATGACAGGCAGCCCAGGGCAGATTAATATTAATCTTATAAATTTTTTAGGGGCCCCGCAGGCTGGACAGAATGGACTAGTGGGCCACATCTGGCCCCCAGGCCTCATTTTGCCCACTTCTGAGTTAGAAACTACTACTATTTCTAATTTAGAGGTGGTGGATAGAAGCAAAAACTGGTGAAGTCTCACAGGAATCTGTGGCAAAGCTAAAAAACCTAGATGCTATTATCGACTTTCAGTACCTTTTCACGAGATTAACCTACTGTATTTACCTGAATCCACAATGACTTCTAATTTAAGATGACACCCCGCAAGATGTCTATACATGGACACTTATAAATTTGTTATAGTTTTCCATATATAGAATCTAATTCTTGGAGGGTCACCTTAAATTTGTCCCCCCCAACTATTATATGCAGCAGCAGGGAGACAAGCAATGAAGAAAGCAATGGCAGAGAGGGAGAAGGGGTAGAAGGCCACCACACCTTACCCTCAACCCCCACACCTTACCCCTACCATCATTTAATGCCCCCCTCACCA